TGCTATCCCGAGTTTTTCAATTAAGATCACTACCCTGCTCATTCAACTGCTATAATGATAGTGAATGGAGACGAAAAGCCTGGCGCATCCCAGCGAGACATTGTTCGAAACCGAACTGTCAGTTCAGCTAACGGAGTGTGACTAAGCCAACAATTCACGGAAATGTCAACGACTCAGCATGTTCCTAGCTAAAAGCATCGTTTCAAATGGAAATGGGCACTGTTCGACTTTGGAGGGGCATTATGGGATTTCTTTGATTCTTTTAGCTGTTTCATGTTAACAAAGACGTCTTATTTTGGCGAGACTGGTAAGCTCGCATGAACCAGCGAAAAGGAAAAAGTAACAACTGAGCCACTCTTGTTAAAAGACTTCACAGGCATTCAGAAGATGGCCTGTCCAAACTTTGCTGAGTACCATTTGGTGCCCCCACTAAGCCGAACTGCGTCGAAAAAATTTGGGAACGAATACGAATTCGTAAAAGGCGAACTGTTGCTTGGAGAAATAAGTGAGCACATCAAAGAAGAGCAGTGGAATCAACTAGGAATCTCCCGTGAAAGGATGGACGCGTCGCTGGTAGAAAGCAGCGCTACCCCACAGATGGTTCGCGAATCGATTTCACTCAACTTCTAGATCGAATCACGTTCAGACCAATGAGACCCTCTACCATTGAATGGAACCAGTACCTCTGAAGGACCAGACCCATTGACGCCTACATTGGGCTCTCGTTGCAACTCGTTGTAAGGCGGACGCTCGACTGCCATAAGGAACTGAATGGAGACCGAATGCATGGCGCATCCCAGAAAGGCGCTAATTGGAACCGAGCTCTCAATTCTTCGGCTATTCAAAAAACGAGACGTACAAGAACATGGAAATGACCTAAGCGCTCACCAGAAAAGCCCTTTAATTGATAAGCCTTTCCGTTTACTCAGAATAGAGTACTGTTTTTAATTCCATAAGATATGACGTCACTAGCTAGCTCTGTGGAAATGACAGAAAAAGAAATAATAGCGAATGACGTGGAAAAGAGAAGGTAAGAGGAGCGAGTCTGGAAAGGCAAACCGAAATTACCAGAAACTCCAAAGCAAACCGCTTTACGGGGGTGTGCTGTACACGGCGCACAGCTCATCGGATGTCATCCATATCTCGCG